AATAAAGGTTTTCAGCAGTTGTCCTCTAAACTGGCCACTGAGTAGAACAGCCAGAAGAGAGCAAATAGCCTTCCCTGGGATCAGGCTTTTCTTCCATGGCATCAGGGATTGGTAACCAGTTTTCAACGGGTAAAGGTGCTGTGCTCTGCTTCCCCTGCCCTGACACCCCCCCACCCCTCCTTTCCAGAAAAAAAAGAGGGCATCAGGTTCAGTGTTGCAAAAAGGATCTGCTTTGTTACTTTTGTGTCTCTGTTTCTGATGCTTTGGTCATTGTTCCCAGTTTTGTCTAGAAATGTGCGTGTGCTGTATCATTAATGGAGTTCAGGGTACTATCAGCCCAGCATTATCCCTACAGTCACTTTGCAGTTCAGAAGGACCCTGCTGTCCTATTTTTTTGAGGGAATGCTGTTGATGTAAAACAAACAAACAAAACAGAAACCTCTGCCTGCAGAGGTTTTCTTCTTTGAATCTGTAAAGCTTGTTTAAAAGCTTGTCTGCCTCGAGGAGTACTGTGCTCCTGCAGAAACCAGGGCTGCACATCTTGGCGATTTTTGGCTCTGATATAAAGTAGGTACTGCAGGGGAGTCATATCGCTGGGCTTGCAGCAAAACGTGTAATGCAGATGAGCTATAGCAAATTACTCTAAGTGAAGTAGATTAGTAAGGAGAAAGAGCTGCTTTTACTCTTTGGTTTGTTCTTTTTCTGTGTGTGTCAGAATTCTGTGAATACAAATCTTTATATTTGGTTAATTCCTTTCTTTGTTTGGATCTTTCATAAAGCAGCAGAGAAGAAAAAGGCATTAAAAACCAGGACTATGGTTGCAAAGTCTCAGGAATAGGCAGAGATGAAACCCTGGAATGTATAGGCTTTTTAATTTTGGAGAGGGAGTTTTCCTTTTTAATCTTGTCTTATGAAGTGGATTAGTTGAGCATATTCTAGATAACTCCTGCCTGGCCTACTTAGTTCCATTCATTGATTTATTCACACACACACACACACACACACACACACACACAAAAGGCTGCATGGGTAGCAGAAGATAAAAAGCCCAGCCTTCTGTGGACCTCACTTATTTTAGCAGTTTCCAGTGGAGGTGCTGTGGTGCCTGATAGTGCAGGGGAGCCTACACTCCTGCGTTTCTCAGTGCAGGCACTAACGAGTCTTTTCTCTGTCCAGTCCAGTTGCATGAAATATGGACGCTTAATCACCTTGTGGGCTGCATATTATGTCACACTTAACAAAAAATGACTGGCAAATTCAGTAGTTGGTAGAGGATTCATCAACAGAGAGATGTGCAGCAAGACCGTGTTTGTTGACAGAATCTAGCTAAATGATCTCTCACTCTTTTCATCTCCTCGTAATGAAGTAAACATAATTAACAGCTTAACTTGACATTTTACTTGAGAATCAGTCTCACGGGAAGAAGAGATGCATGTTCATCTTTGTAGTTTGGGATTTTGTAAAATCTCAAGAGCTGTTGACTGCTGCTGAGGTGGTTAAAATTTGAGTAGGGTCAACAGACTGTATGTCAGCAGTGACCTCTTTCCATGACCAGCTCCACAGGAGATACACCTCTGCGTCTTTACCCTTGTCTTCTAAAGGCAGATCTTTGTGCTTTACATAGGTCCTTGTTTACTTTTTCCTTCATCTTTCCCAAACTTTGATCTGTTCTCAGTCAAGTTTGACAGGTTGAGGTCCCAAAGACCAGCATTTTCGCCAACTTTCATGAAACTTGGTGACTGAGAATCTTGTGAAAGCTTACTGAAGCTCCTACTGAGGTGAAAACCTGTACTAATAAAAGTAGTATGGTCAGATGTCAGAGAATTGCGTGGGAGCCTTACAAATATCACAGCCCAAGAAAGCTTCAGTAGGAGCCTATTAGCACTGTGACACAAGGCTCTGGCAAACTGGACTTCAGTAGTCTTAAGGCTGACAGAAGTACACCTTGCAGGTGCTGTACAGCATTAAATGGATCTCAGCAGTTGAGAGAGGGCCACTTCCTTTCATGTTTTTGTGGCTTTTGCTGTGGATTAACGGCATCCAGCAAAACAGCAAAGTGAAATCAATTTTGCTCCTGATGCTAAAAGAGTGTAGGGTAGGCATTGTGTATTTGTCTTATGTTCCACTGAGAAGTCTTGGGCTAAGTAATTCAACAGAGATGCAGCTTCAAGTCAGTAAGAATTCAAAAGCAAGGCAGCTAGGGGTAGTGTGACCTTTGAATTGGAAAGGCTTCTCCTTTTGCTTCCCTCTGGTTTGCAACACTTTTAGGGTTTATTGTGGAATGTGATGTATAGCTTTCTTCTGTTTTTTCACCTCCTTCACAAACCACAAAATTTACACTTTTTTTTGCCTTTAAAATCAGAAAATGTAAAGGCTTAATTGTCTTGCACAAATAGTTCAAGGTAAGAGCAATATGGTATGTATTTTTTAAGCTTATTACCAACTCTTAAAGTTTTGGCCTAAGAGTGCACAAAAATAGAATGTAAAATAAATAGGTTTGGTCCCCAGTGGCAAGTATTGATTGGTTGTCTAAATTGTCATCATTGACTTTGAGGTCAGCAATGTTTTCTCTTAAATTATGCTGCATCAGGGAATATTTATGCAAATATCTGAATTATCCTTATAAATTAATAATAGCCTTAGTATTTTTTCCCTGTACCTCTCTCTTTATCTCCCTTTTTTTTTTTAATAGTGCTAGTTCAGAGAGACACATGAATCTATTTTCCTGAAAGTTTAGTGTTATTCCTGCTTTGCCATAGGATGTAAAAACATTTGCTAACAAGCAGAAACCTGATTAATTAGATTTTTGTGAAATTAACCTTTATTTTTTTTTTCCATTTTCAGTAAAAGTAAAATGACATAACCTTTGGGACAGAGAAGACAATCTTCTGAATATAGACCACTGTAATGCTGTTCTGAAAGCAATAGGATATTAATTCTGAAGCATCTGTTACATGAACATTGTTCCCATGTGAATGGTTCATAAGGAAAAGCTTCACTCATTTTAAAATATAAACTAATTAAAAGTATGTATATTTGATTGGAGTGGCTTATTTTTAGATTGGGTTTTTTTTTTAATTGATTCAAGCCAACTTATGCTATTCTGAATCAAGTCACCCCATAGACTTATGCTTAGTTTTATTTTTCTTTTTTTGATGTAATGAAATGATTCTGCTTCTAATTAAAAATGATATCTTAAAAAACAAATCTGTGTAAATGATATCTTATATATGATCTACAAGCACATTAGTCCTATGAGCTTTGTATTGGAAGGCTTGCATTTGAGGCTGAAGAATAATCAAAGGATGAAAGAAGGACAAGATAAAAAAAAGGGATGTGTGACCACACAGGAATTTGCTATAATGTTGTAGTCTTATAAACACGAGTCTGTATCATGTATCTCTGCTGTCTTGGAGAGCTGGTGATTCTTGGTTATGTAATGACCTGTACATTTCAGTACAGATTCATTTAAATAACTGTGGAACTTAATCTTCTTCTAGAAAACCACTGTTTGCATGCTTACATTAGTGAGAAATAGACTGGGAAAGGTCTGCCTGTGGAAACATAGCTGTACTTTTTCTGCTCTTGTATTGTTATGCGAATCAATTGCAGATCAGTTTTATTTGGCTTTGGGACTAGGGAATCAGGGCTAAATAGCCCTAAAGCAAAAAAAAAAAGTTCTGAAATCTCTTGATGCTGATTCAGCACAGTGCAGAACAAGGCTAAGGCCAAGTCCTCTCCTCTGCATGCTGCACACTGATGGTGGGATATAAGGCTTAGATAGATTTCTGGTGTGATTTGGCACAGTAGTTCTTGTAGCAGCTACTGTGAGGTTCTAGGTTAGTGAGCAGTTTAAAAAAAACATCTGTCAACTTCAAAGTGGAGAAAAGGTATGCTCTTACAGGGGGTAGAATCTAGATAATAATATAATTATGATATTATTATAATAAGAAGAATTCTCTTTCTAGTGGGAGTACACAATACAGATTTGACCTTATTTTTGGTCTCTTAAAGATTGTATTGTAAAGAATCTTGTCTATGCAGTAGTATGCAGTAGTTTAGAGTGCACTCACAATTGTTTTCTTTGTCTGCAGCCTAATGAAAAAAATAGTGAGATGAGAGGGGAGCAATGCATTGCTAAAATTAAATACAAATCTGTCTTAACTCTAGAATGTCTGATAGATTAAACTAAGCAAATTCACTTGAGCTACTTGCCTGACTCTTTGAAGGCTCTAAATCAGAGCTTCTCAGGTCTCTATCTGCTCGTAATCTGTCTTGAAATCAAGTCCAGGTTTCATGATCTCTAAATGTGAAGGGATGTAACACCCTGTCTGAAGGCAGAGTAGTGTTCACCTTCGAAAGGTTAGAAAAGATAGGCCTTGATGTACCACATTGAAATGTTAAGTTAGAAGGGTGGTCCAGCAGCTTTAAAAAGAAAGGAGAAAATAGGCATGTTAGTGCAGGTTTTGGCATGTTGAAAATGTTTCCCTGATTCTGAACTAAGAATGCAATAGTAATTCTGCTGCTTGTTTTAGTGTTTCAGTTCTCTTGCTTTTGAGATGCACTTGAATCACAAAATCACAGAATGATTTGGGTTGAAAGGGACCATAAGGATTATCTAGTTCCAAATCCCCTATGGATTTGGAATCCAATGGGCAGGGACACCTTCCACTAGACCGGGTTGCTCAAAGCCCCATTTAACCTGGCCTTGAACACTTCCAGGGGTGGGGAAGCCACAACTTCTCTGGGCAAATTGTGCCAGTATCTCACCACCCTCTGAGTAAAGAATTTCTTCCTAACATCTAATGTAAATCTCCCTTATTTTAGTTTAAAACCATTCCCCCTCATCCTATTACTATACACCCATGTAAAAAGTTGCTCTCCCTCCTTTTCATAAGCCCCCTTTAAGTAGTGGAAGGCTGGAATTTTAATTCTTGCTTGCAGCTCAGGATTGTGGTAATATGTGCATATAATAAATCTTTGTCACTTTCTGTTTCTAGGTCCACTGTCCTTATTTCCTCAGTGGAAGCTGAAACATTATGATGTTATTGTAGGTGTTTTGTCCGCTCGACACAATCATGAACTACGCAGTGTTATAAGGAACACTTGGTTCAAGCACCTGAAACAACATCCTGCACTGAGCCAACGGTAATCTCTAGTGTTTTGTAATTTGGATCTGAAGGGAGGGGGTGAGGACTGTAATGCTGAAATATCTTGATTTAATAATTTTTTTAAGTATTTCCTTTTTTTTCTCTCTATTTTTGAGCATCTTGTACTCTGATAGATTTTTTAATCTATTTAGTAATATATAAGAATACTTCTTGTCTTGGGCTGTAACTATTTTTTTTTACACTCTGTTAGTTTTTGCAGTTAGTCACCACTGTTCATTAATGATGTATAATATAAACCTTTCTCTTTTTTGTGTCGCAATGTCTGCTTTGTACGGTATGCAACTTGAAATGCTTAGTAATCCAGGATACTCGAAAGTGGGCAGGATTGCATTTGGCGAGAGAAACACAAAAAACTCTTGCAACAGCCTCAACTGTAAAGTTCAAGTTTGTGTCCCACTGAACCAGGTGCACCAAACTGCTGCAGTGTGAGTGACCCTTCCTGATTGCTTGCATAGACCTGTCAGCCTACAGACAGGGCTGTTTTTGCTGAGAAGTTCTGCTGCAGTTCGTTCCTGGAAACGTTGTCGTCTTGATAGGCCTCACATCTTGCACCGAAAGCACTTCACTATTCACAGATTTCATGTCCATGTACAGTCTGGAGCTACTTCAGTCATCTAAAAATGTGACCTTTTGTAGCTTATATGGAGGTCTGGGAGGGCATTTAGCTGCTAGGTGAAGAGCTAGCTTAAGGTGGATTCTCTTGCTCTTTGTACTACTTGTCTCCTGACTGTGGAACAACTATGATTGGGGCTGGAGAGAGGAACCTCTTGTTTTGCTACAACCCAAAGTTGAAACATTTCTTTGTAACAGATAGTCTAGAGTCCTTGTTCTTCCCTTTATGCTACATGTCTTTTTTTTCCTTATTTTTTTCACTGCCTTTTGAATGTAGAGTATTTAAACAATCTTGAATTAAATAATAAAGCCAGGCTGGGAAAGGCAGGTCTTCAGGATTCTTCAGTGTTACCCTAGGTACTTTTTCTGTTCAGTGTGCTGACTGCCTTGAATCTCCTTCCTAGCTGCCAATCTTCCTGCATCCTCATAATGAGATATAAATGTTAATGTGGGTTTGGAACTGAGCTCCTATGAGAGGATTCACGTGATTTCTCTACATACAGACTGTCATTGCTGATTTTTAAGCAAAGCCTTAAACCTGTGAAAGACAGGCTGTTGTGATAAAATAAGGTGATTGAAGATGGAGGGAGGAGGGAAGAGAACTGGTGTTAATAAAACCAAATTATTTTAGTGTCCTTGTGAAGTTTATAATAGGTGCGCATGGTTGTGCTGTGCCAGTGAAGGACAGAGAAGACCCCTACTCCTGCAAACTTCTGAACATCAGTAACCCAGGTAAAGAAGTTAACTTTTAAAAACTCTATGATCTGAATTCTGAGAATAGTTTGGGGAGTTAAACTGGGACAGCCAGTCTTGAAAACAAATGCTGCCTAGGACTTGCTGTCTTAACAGTTGCATAACCTTCCTGTAAGTACCATGTGCAGGCAGAAAAGGGAGAGATATTGGGGTGTGTGAAGGGGAGGGGGTCATTGACTTCTAATGGATTTGCGTTTTCCTTGTGCTAGGGACAGTCTCTCCCATATAACATACATTTTTACTTGATCCATATGTCAAATGAAGTTGGAGAGAGCCAGAATGATGCAGTATGGTGTCAAATGTGAAGAAAGTAGCCAAGGTGACTGAGTCTTGAGTGTCAGATGGACTTCTCTGGTGACAACGTGAATTCCAAGCAAGTCTGGATGATAGGTTTTTCAGATTCCACTTTAGAGAGAGAAAAACTAAGAAATGTACTATGGGGGAAAAGGTTAAATGCTGCCATACCAGAATTCCTGACTAAAATAGTAAATTTATCCTGTCACCTTTTATTTTCTATTTTATTTTTCCTCTTTAATTACAAGTTAAATAAGGATTGCTTGGCATTTAAGCCATGATTGAACACAAAATGCAATTTCTGTTGCTTTCTCTTTGAATGGTAACATCCCCTGCTCCCAAGTGTAAATAGTACCTCAGGGCTTAGGGAGGCAGTAATGCCAAAAAGCAAGTAGCTGAATGAAGTGGAGGTGTATGCCATTTTGATGGCATGAATAATTATTTTAATATGCTAATATAGAGGTATTCATGCAGTCAAATAGCACTTTTTGCCTTCACTCTGTGGATTTATTGTGTTTCTAATCTTTTCCTTGTGGATATATAGGCACTGAGTTGCAATTGTTATTAGCCTGCAGATTGCTGTATCACTGAATTTCTCCTTGCTGCAGTCTGCAGCCTGTTGTATTTTCTTTTACTCCAGTGTTTGATTAACATTGTGCACTTGTGAGCTGTGCTAATTAATCAGAATGCTTTGCATATATCCGGTGTGCTATGTGTGTATCCAGTTCAGAAACTGAGAAGTCTTCTCACCTTACCTCTGTCCTTTCCTTTTCATACAGTTTTGAATCAGGAAATCGAAGCATTCAGTCTCCCTGAGGATGTACCTTCTGTGCTATCTGAAGACAGAATTGTCAGCGTGAATTTTCGTGTACTTTACCCCATTGTCATTACCAGTCTTGGGGTATTTTATGAGGCTGATGGGGTGGGATTCCAGAGGAACATCACTGTAAAACTGTACCAGGCAGAACATGAGGTAGAGTATTGTAGTTATCTTTTGAAAGTGGACTAAAGCATGTTGTCTCTTTATTGTGGATTTAATTCTTACAGAAAGTGACATGCTGGGTTGGTGATTTAGAAGAGAAGTACTTAACTGACAAGTGTATAAATTACATTTTTGTTCTGTTGCATTGTAAATTCTTATTTCATTCATATATATGTATATATATATACACACATGCAGAGACACATCCTGGATGAGGAAAAGATGGAATTCGTGAAGTACTATGCGTTAATCTAAATGCTCTTATGAAAGAGCACTTACATCTAATTCCAGTGCACAGTTTTTTGATTGTATTTGAGATTCTAAAGTATTGATATGTATTAAGGAATAAAAAATAAACTAATATATTTAAAACACGTGCAGAAACATACATTTGGTGCCTTCAAGCAGAGAGATGCAGGACAGCGGGAATTTTTTCTTGTCTGTCTTCTGGCAAAACATTTTAAGATTTCTAGAAACTGATATTATTTACAGATAATAATCAAACTTGGTTGATAATTTCCCCTACTCCCAAGCTGTTATGGGTTTGATAGCATAGCTTAGTGCTAACTTGGAGGAAAAAAAAAATCATTAAGTATGATTGTTGCGTTTGATATATTGCATTTATCTCTACCAATAAGTTAATAGGTGAATTTCAAGACTTCTGGCTGTGCTACAGTAGAAAGAATTTTAAGTATGACTTTTATGATGAACTTTTAAAGAATTTGGTTTGTAATAGCTGTAATAAAAATAAAATTACACTGTAATCTGGTTTATGTTTGTTAAATGGTAGAATTCTACATGTTCAAAGTCTAATAATTTTATCTACATTAGCTTTTTACTTCCAGTGAAGGAGAAAAATTATTAACATAAGAGAGCTTGGAAGATTTGGAATTTGGCAATGGAGCGTCTTTATGTAATTTGTTATTATCTAAGAGCCATTTGGTGGCCTGTGTAATATAATAACACTTTTAATGGGTGTTTGGGTTTTTTTTATTTTGCTTTTTTTTTCCTGTTTTTCATAGGAAGCGATCTTCAGTGCTCGCTTTAGTCCACCGAGCTGTGGAGTGCAGGTGAACCGATTGTGGTACAAGCCAGTAGAGCAGTTTATTTTGCCAGAGGTATGTGGAGTATCAGAACTGCCTTCAGTTCTTTTAAGTCATCTGGACAGACCGACTGATAAAATGGACAATTTGGGCCAGTTTATTCCCTCATTTATTCCCCTGGCTCCATAAGAATGAATGTATTTGGAAACCTGTTCATTTTAAGGGGAATCTGCAGCTGATTGATTGGTTTATCATCTTAGGCAGTGTTAACTAAATACTGTGCAAGTTTTTATGCTGGCAGGAGACCTTTCGGGTGAGCAGATGACTCGCAGTACTTTGTGCATATGTTTTGACAATCTAATTTCATACTGAAATGATTAAGGGTTTATTTTATTTTTTAAAAAAGTGTATTAGTTACCCAGTAATTTGGTAGTATATCATGTGAGCCTTTTCCCTGTAAGACTTACTTCTGAGATACTAAAATTCCAGGCAGTTGTAATTTTGCAATAAATGATTGCATTTTTCCTGAGAGACAGATGGCAAGTGTTTCCTTTGGAGAGAGGATATTAGTATTCATATATTTCTTTGTGTGGGCTTCCTTAATCTGATATGTGTCACGTGCTGAATGCTTACAGGATAACATGATGTTTGTAATGTAGATTAATGGGGCTTATGCACAGCATGTAGTCTCCTGTGATACTCAGGATGCTGAACCGTACACAGTGATTCAGAAGAGATGGGGATGCCCACATGTTCCTGTCTTCTTGTTTGTGAGCAGTAAATTTAATAAGCTGTTTAATTGTCATAAAATGGTTTCTGAGGCAGTATCTATTCTCTGCCTTTCCACCTTGAAGAAGTAATGGATTGTACAGACTGCTGAAGAGCTTCATTCATCTTCCAGCTGAAGTGCTGCTCTTTCTGCTCGTCTTGGGGAAAGGAAGGGAAATGCAGCATTCGAATAAGCATCTGGCAGGCCAGATTGTGAGAGACAGAATCGATCATTCAGCTTTGGAACGACTGAAAGCACAGAAGAGCAGAACCACTAGCAGATAACTAAAACTCACACAGGGGCTCTTAGAGCCAAGTCTTAGCAATGCATTTATTTTGTCAAAAAGCCACCGGCCGCTTGCATGAAAATGGGACTCTGTACTAGGCATACTCTGTGTTACTAATGGGGAGTAGTTAGAGGAACAAAAACCACAGCACTGTTTAACATTAGGAAAGGAGTTTGGCAGGGCTGCATTATGTGGGTACAGCTGTTCGGTATTCACTGCAAATGCCACTGCGCTCTGGCAGCAACAAGGCTGGAATTTAAATGGGGAAAAACAGATGATGTAGTCTCAGGTGTACCACTACTGGTTTTGCTTTAAGCATTTTCAGGCCTCAGCTTTCATCAAGTGGCTTGGAATAAGAATAGCTGAAGGCTAAAGTCATTAGAAAATTTGCTTACAAGTCTCTCAACTTGGAGAATAATGATAGTTTGCAGCTTTAGGACACCTTGCACTGAGGTTCACTGGTAATAACTGAGTAAGACTTGGTACATGTTCGAAGTCAGTATCAGTAAGAGTCAGTGCTGAGAATGTTAATGTTTCTGGTTGCTGAGGCGTGAAAGGACTTTCCTGTTCACTAACAACTTACCAAAGGTTGTGTCTGTAAACAAGCCACTGAAGAGTGATTAGAGCCCAGTCCCTACAGCAAAAAACATTGGAAGGGGAAATGACAGTCATTGCAAACAGAGAAATTGAGCATGTAGGTTTTACTGTGCAGGGTGTTCAGAGGTCCTGCTGCTAAAAAAAGTCTTTAATAATGGTCCATTTGTTTTGATAACTGAGAGATGATTAAACAAACAAGGCGAAGGTACTGAGCATGAAAGTCAGACCTGATAAACACTGGCTAACTCCATTATTAGATTATAAAACTGGCATTATAAAAAACAGATGAGAGACTTCTGAAATACACAGCTGTCATTAAATACTGAGACAGCTGCAGATGTTAAGACCTACTTCTAGAGAAAAGCAAAGAATTAAGCTGAACTCTAATATAGACTTTAACAGTGTGTCAATAACTGGAGAATTTCTGGAGAAGGTTTCTAATGTACAAGGAAGCTAAAATGGGGAAGAGATCAGAGGTTAGTACAGGTAAACAGACTTCCTACAGCAACAGAGATGCATCTACAAACAAGTTTTTTCTTTCTTTCAAGGCCCATAATAACTGTTTGTGTTTCCTATGAGACTGGGAGAGATGAAACAGAATGTGCTCATCTAGCAGTCAGGAGTATAATAACCCTACAACTACTCTTTACTCCTCTGTCATAAGGGTAAAATTGCTTAAAAAATATAAAAAAGTATAATGCTACCAGTACTCTTACTGTACAACATGCCACCTGTTCCTTTGCATGTTCTCAGGGGTCTTCAGTTTAAAGATGAGATGAAGTACTTTTAAATGCAAGAATTTACACACACACACACACACACACACACACACAAATATATATATAAACCGTGGAGTGACATAGCTTAATTTGACAGGTAAACCCGAAAATTTTAAAGATAGTCACTTGTCTTTTTCTTCTTTATCAGCCAAAATGTGAGGCCAGAGTTCTGTGACTCTCCTACAGTAGCTTGTGACACCTTTACCAGGATAAAGGTGGCTGTATTTTCCTTTGAGTTTTGCTGGTGTCAGGATCGAGTCTCTGATCTCTGTTTAGCAGATAACTAAAAAGCTGCACTTACTTCCAAATCTGTTTTAACGTATTCTCTTTGTAATGCAGGATTTTATATTTGATTTTTAAAAATTCATTAGATCACTTTTAAATGCAGTCTTGATGATTTTAGAAAGCCAAAGCTTTTTACACTAGGCTTCTGTTAAAAGTGTAATGTTCCTAATACAGAGATTCGTGTTTAGTCTTAAAAGCATGATTCTGTGTTACTGAGTTTCATGGGTGTATTTCTTTTATGAGTAATTTTTTTCTATTGAAGTGTAAGTAAAACATCGATGTCATGCATTCAAGCTAAATCTTTTGTGAAGTTGACTATTTTAAAATAAAAGAAGACCCAAACTGTTTGATTTTCATCCTTTGAAATCTTTGAATACCTGCAAAACAGTGTTTTGCTCTTTTACCAGAGTTTTGAAGGTACCATTGTGTGGGAGAGCCAGGATCTTCAAGGCCTCATTTCAAGAAACCTTCATAAAGTGATGGTGAACGATGGAGGAGGTGTTTTCAGAGTCATTACAGTGAGTCCCTTCACATTCCCTTCCACCATGTTTTTGTTTTTCCTATAAGTCTTGAGTATTTAGCATTTTACTTTTCTATGTTTTTTGTGTAAATCATTACTTCAGTAGTTTTTCTGTTGTCTTAGAGGGGAAGTTTGCCTTCTAGCAAAAAATTACGCTTGTAAGTGGCATTTTCTTTTATTTTGGAGGGAGTAAATCTCACCGTTTTGTCTTTCTCAGGTGTGAAGCAGTATCAATATCAGAGATGACAAAATGTGGGCCAAAAATCCTGTGCTAAAATCCCAACTGATGGAATTAAGTCTAGTTGGGGTTTTTTTTGACAGTGTGTTTCTTTTCCTGTCAATATTGCTTGCTTAAACATGCTGTGCCGCTGTAATTTAGCCAGAATAACTTTATATTTTGCTATCAACTTCAAAACTAGTTTTCTGGAAGTTTCAGGTTCCACTAGTTTTAGGTAAAACAAAAAAATGCCACAGAACTGTACAGTTAAAAATCTTAGTCTTTCTTGGCACATGGCGTGATTTGTGGGGTGGTCCTGTGCAGGTCCAGGAACTGGACTTTGGTGATCCTTGTGGGTCCTTTCCAGCTGAGGATATTCTATGATTTTATGATTGTGCAGGTACCTAAACCAGAAGACCTTTAAATTCCTTTTGTTCTCAGCTGCCAGAAAACTTTACATCTTAAAAACATAGGGAAAAACACATCAGTAATGCAAGATGAACTAATCTATTTCTTTCCATTAATCTGTTCCTAGCAGGCAGGGGAAGGGTCACTGCCACATGAACTCACAGAAGGTGTGGAGGGAATAGCAGGTGGTTTTATCTACACTATTCAAGGTAAGTCTGCAGAATGTAGCATCGCATTTGATGTTACGATAAAACAGGTAATTTAAATTATATTTCTGAGGTATAGTTTGTGCTGTCTCTGTGAACTTAGTCACCCTAGGTTTTCTTTTAGTAAAAACAGTTAATTTCTTTCTGTGTTTTTAATGCTTAAGGTCAATGTCCTGATGTGGTTTCTTTGCTTGCCCTTTGTCAGCCACTCCATTTGACTTGCATCCCTTTGTCTTTTTATCTAGACTTCTCTTCTTGTTTTTTTGTTATCCAAAATTAAGTTAAAAAATGTTGTGCAATGAAATCTTTCCCTGATATTTTTCACGTTTTTTCCAGTGCTGCTGCTGTTAGATATACTGTATCATGATGTTTAATACTGACAAATACCTAACAAAGCCAGCTTTTCCATCCCTTGTTTTACACCTATTTCAGGAGAATGTCCAGAGACTCTATAGGAGCCTTTACTAACGTCTAAGTGTTCTTACTGATCCATCATACCCAACATAAGCAGTGACTTTCAGAGTGCTATTCTTGTGTTTTTATAGCTAGGCCTCACAGATATAATTGGGCAGTCCTGTTGTCCTGTCATCTGTGTAGGAGCCTAAATTGAGGTGTGTGCTAAAGGTCTTCCATCTTGTTTGTCAAACAGTTCTTCAGTACCACAAACTATCTCCTTACCTGCAATATTTTTCTAGCTTTAACCTGCAGTCAGTTATGAGATTTGGTTCAGCAGGGACCATCTGTGCTACATCAAAGCAATGTCTATTTGATTATATTTAGCATAGGATTTTTGGTTTGTTTGTTTGTTGTTTTGTTTTATTTTTATGCTAGATACATATACTTAGGAGTAATTAAGTATATAATTAACGTTATAATACTGTATAATATAAGTAAGTGTATAACAGTAGCCTTTTTATGGTAAAAGTAATAGTGAAGTCCCTGACTGCTCTTTATATTAAAGAACCTTAAAAAGTTGAATTATTTTATTACTGAAAAGGAAGAGAATTCCTTTTATTTGAAACTTTCTGTGCAAGACTTATACAAAAATACATTTCCTTGTTGTTCTGCAACTTTTACCATTTCATAAAAATTTTAAAATTAATTGCAGGAATTTCATAACCCCGTTAATTTGAATGTTTTTTCAGATTAATTTTGTCAATAGATTGTGTATGATCCAAGAGAAACACGTGAAATAGTATGTAGATGTGCATCTTTATTTAATGATGGGTGTTGTTTCTTTCAGAAGGTGATGCTCTTTTACAAAACCTCCATACTCGCCTGGAAAGGTTTACAAGTCACATAAAAAACCTTGAGAAAGAAGATACTTTATTGAAGGAAGAAAGCAGTACCTATGATGATATTGTTTTTGTAGATGTTATTGACACTTACAGAAATGTTCCCACCAAACTGCTGAACTTCTACCGATGGTAAGTTGAAAATAAAGTGTTTTCTGTTTAGAATGTTGCTGTCTGTAGTGCAAGATGATCTAGCATAGGCTCCATGAAATATATGCCTTATGTGATTTACTTCATCAGGTTGTATTTCTCTCTCACAGTTTTGGGTGCATGTAGTGAGTAAAATAACAACACCTATAGTCTTGAATGCTGACCATTGGTGCTTCAAGTAAGCATGAGCTGGCAGGACAGGCTTCTGCCCTAAGAGTCCAGGTGTGAAAATTGTCATGTCTCCTTGTAATTTCTTTTAATTTGTATCTAACTGAAAACTAGCAGTTTTAGTCTTTCAAAGGATGGCTTTTGGCCAGTTTGTGTACTTAACTTAGTGTTTCAGTTTGTGGCCATTGCCTCTTGTCCTGGACACCACTGAAAAGAGCTTGGCTCCACCTCTTTACACCCTCCCTTCAGGTATTTATACATTAATGAGCTCTCTCCAAGCCTTTTCTTCTTCAGGCTGAACAGTCTCAGCTCTCTCACCTTTCCTCATTGGAGAGATGCTTCAGCCCCTTAATCATCTTGATGGCCCTTGCTGGATTCTCCACCCAGTATGTCTGTGTCCCTCTTGTACTGAAGAGTCTAAGACTGCACACTGTAGTCTAGATGTGGCTGCATCAGTGCTGAGTTGCAGGGAAGGATGGGAAACTTGGGGGGGGAGGCAGAAGGTTTATAGGAAGAATTTTTCATAGTGTAACACATTGTCTGTGATGAATCTAATAAGTTATTACCTCTAATTTTCAATTATTTCCGTTACTCTGAGGCAACCGTTTCAATTAATTGATGTTGCTGTGGAGTAAGAAATATAGCTGACAGTTGTAATTTAGCCAGAATTCAGTTTAGCTGCTTGCAAGATTATGCATTTATTTAACAAATTTCATGGTTATGAATGTAACTGAAAAACTGAACCATGCTTTCAGTTCTAAAAGTGAGTTTAAATGTCAAGACTTAGATCTTCGTGGTCATTTCTTACAGATTAGCAATACTTCAAGATTTAGTAATAAAAGGCTTTAAAAAATGCCTTTCTTGTTATGAGAAATTACCCTTAAAAGCAATGTTTGTAACCAACTCAGCCATGATCTATAAAATCTCAAGCTTTTTTTGGTTATTCTATGAGTGTCAGACATTCAACTATTGCAGACAGTTAAAGATTACATTTTTCATATTTGAAGGGTGCTTTTACTGAGAAGGAGTAAGTACAGAGTTACTTCCACAGATGTTTGGTAAAACCTACAACCTTCTCATTACCTTGAACTGACTGTCTCATCCTGAAAGTAGGCTACTGACGTGTAGCCAGTGGCTTTTAACAGCTGTGCTGCCATCATCATCAGGGATTCATATCCTCCTGAAGTCAACACTGTTTAAGACAGATTCATTAATAAATCCACCATCTGTCCCGGAGAACAAAACTTTGTTTTCTTCAGCTCATGCACAAGTCCATGGTGTAAGATTATCCTCGGATGCAGCTGCATCTCCTTTCTGTAGGACAAGCAGGTCAGCCTTGGTTGATAGAGAAAACATGTAAAAGTCAAGGGTAGGAAAGACGTTCCTTCCCTTTTCCTTCTCCCTCTGCTTCCCAAAAAACTTTTGCAGAACCTTGTATTGCGTATCTGTAGATTGTGGTGTGTTGCTCAGCATCTCATCACTTTTCTTTTTGGCTGCAGGACAGTTGAATCAACAAGTTTTGACTTGTTGCTGAAGACGGACGACGACTGTTACATTGATTTGGAGGCTGTTTTTAACAGGATAATGCAGAAAAAATTGGACAGGCCAAACATTTGGTGGGGGAAGTGAGTTATTTTCCAAACTTGTCTTTAGGAGATAGCATGTCTTTAGTGAACAGTTTAGTGATTTAAGTCTATTTTCATGTGGGTTTCCCTTTTCTGCGTAAGGAAGCCAGTTATAAAAGGCGGGACTTCTGTATATGTGAGAACTTTGAATCTCAGAAGACAGAAACTAGTCATTTACAGTAACTTTCCAGAGTGTGCCTTTACAGTGAGTTAAACTTGCTGATTATCAAAATGTGCTAGTTTCAAAATGTGTTATAGGCATCTTTGTCATGGTACTTAAGTAAATAAAAGTATTCCAGCAACACAGTGAGGTTAAAAGGCACGTGCATACTAAAGAACTGTAAACATTACTTTTTGTGATTTTTCTGGTGGGCTTGAGGAGATGGGGTGAACAGGAGAAACAAAATTTCCTTTATGGTCTGCACTTTATTTTGACATCTGTGAGTGACAGGCATTGCTACCCATTTTTGCTGCTGTTTGAGACAGTAGATCTGATCAGTGAATTTTTGAGTGAACTTTCCCAGCCTGTATTACACAGTTGTGAATAACTAGGAGGATCAAAATAGTCTACAGGTTCCTTTCCATTCATGGGATGCATTGCAGCTCTGGTATAGCATCCAGTATAGCAGAAACTCTACACTACTATAACAGTCAACATAGCATAATGGCACAATGGGCCTTCCTGTTGCCATCTGCTTACTGAGGAAAAACAGGCCTTTGCTACTTTGCTTGACAAATCTGGTACTGACTGTTGCTTACTCATAAAGTGATTTAATAAGGTGCGTGGTCAAGTGTGTGTGAAATAGCTGGTTATCTTGTGGTTATCTCAAAGATCTGTAAGGGTGACATCTTCACGTGTAAATTCTCTAATAGTCAGTCTTTAGCTAAGGCAAGTGTGAAGTGTAGAGAACAATGCTGAAATAACTATGGAAGTATAAAATGATTATCAAAGCACGTGCTTCTCAGTCTGGAGGCGGTTGCACCCTTCCTGCTGTGATTCAAAAGAGTGGAAAATACTGAGTCTAAAGTGAATTGAGGTATCAGATGTGACTTCTATCTCTTTGGTGCTTTAACATGTCAGCTTATGCTGAGAATGTGCTGAGTCTGATAACAGATCTGCCACTCAGCTGTAATTTCTCCCTTTCAGGGCTGTTGTCTGAGGTGACAATTCTTAGTAGCTCACTAAAGCTTTCAGCTGCTGTGCTCATGACTGAACTCACCAATGCTGAACCTGTTTGTAAAATGGGGAGAACCTGCTGCATTGACACAGTTAATGCCACTTAGCTATGAGTGCATGAAGTATTTGTAAGGCCAGGGGAGTGCAATACCAGCCTGTTCCCAAAAAGGAAAAGCAGGATGCTTCTCTCTGCCTCACATGGCTGTTTGACAGGGTCCATAGTGACACATGGTGTGGCAGTGAGCTCTGCCATGCTGCCCGGGGCTGGGAGTTTGTCTGCAGACAGAGCACTACTGGCTTTCTGCAGGCCTCTAGTAGTGAATAAAGTCTTCCTTAGAGGACACCACTGCCAGGAAGGTTTTTTTGTAATTCAGTGATGGCAGCCTTTGAACATCCGCTTTGTGGAGTTTCATTTGGAAAAAGGCTTAGAGAAGGTACATATTGCTTCCTGGTTTTTAAGCAGCCACTAGTTTTATCAGGAAAATGGGTTGTATAACATCACTGTATCGCCATGCCTGCTGGAGGCACTGACTTTGTGTCATGTTGATTCATGAAAGGGGTTAATTAACAGGACACAGATGTGCCTGTTACAGAACATAGGTAAGGATGCATGTGCTTTCCTGGATCAAAACCCAGCAGCAAGGTGCAGCATGCTGAAGACCTGACTGTGTCAATATTGGTTTCTGTTCTGAGAACTTTCTCTTATTACCCAAGACTGACACCAAACAATAGTTATGATTTAAGCACTTGTGTTCAATTAGATGTGTGCCCTAGAGAAATGAGGCTAGGAACTATAATTAGGATCACCTTCTACTTCTTCCTCTTAGCACTGTTTGTTGTCAGTGTTACTTACAATTGTTAGCAATGTTCATAGGTTCCACAGAGGGCTCTCTATAATCATCTCATACCTAACATGGTCTTCAGTTTCAGACTAAATTGGGCAGTTGATCGAACTGGGAAATGGCAAGAGCTGGAGTATCCAAGTCCTGCATATCCAGCCTTTGCTTGTGGGTCCGGCTATGTCATCTCCAAAGACATTGTTCAGTGGCTGGCAAGCAACTCTGAAAGGTTAAAGACATACCAGGTAATAAAGAGTTGGTTCAGGTTGACTGTCTTAAACTGGTCTTGACACAGTTTAGTGATTTTTTTTAGTGATTGAATGAGTTGGAAAGAACATTGCTCAAGTATTAGTGTTGGGTTCTCCTGGCTAATGACGGCTTTGGAATGTTTGTGGTCTCTACACTTAGTGTCTGTTCTAGGTCAAAGCACAAATGTTAGATGTTTTGTACTGAGAACCTTGGGAGCTGTAATCTTTGTTTCTGTACTCTGTTCTTCTAAGAACAATGTATTAACACAAGAAAGCTGGGAGGATTAATTTAATAGCCCTAACATAGTCAGACGTAGGTTTTTGTAGCTACCATTCATTAGTGCTGGTAGATGATGCAACTTATTCCAGGTCACCAAGTCATGCTTTATGCTTTCCTGATGCTAATATCTGTATTTTTTATTTTAATGTGTCATCTCAGGGTGAAGATGTAAGCATGGGCATCTGGATGGCAGCTGTAGGACCCAAGCGATATCAAGTAAGTCTGAAGGAATTGTCTGATCTTACAGAAAGAGAACATGCCTGTTCCAAGTAGCATAAAATAGGGGAAACGTTTTGTTTTTAAAAAGAAATTGAAACAACCATTGAATTAAAATCCAGAGGGAAAAAAACCACCAAAATTCGAAGATGCATTTCAAAGATAAACCACAAAACCCCCACAAACCACCTGCAGATGCCATCCCTACCTCTCAGGTTCTCTGATTAGGTCGAGCAGATCATTTGGGGACCTTTGTGTGCAAAGTTTGTTGCTGTAAACAAAGAACACCCGATTCTTGAAAGTGAAAATTCCTGGGGACTAAATTGAAATGGTTCTCTCTCTAACAGGATGGTCTTTGGTTGTGTGAGAAGACATGTGAGAGTGGCATGCTGTCTTCCCCCCAGTACTCTCCCCAGGAACTGAAAGAGCTGTGGAGATTAAAGGAACTGTGTGGAGATCCATGTAGATGTGAAGAAAGATGATGGACTTGCCTTGGAAAACAGGGTAGTGTATAATGATCATGGAAAAGTGTACATTTCGATTTATTCCAGGAACAATAAGAAATATTAAGGTACCTTTTAATGTTGGGTTTCAACTTAAGCATAACAATATTTGCACATCCCTTTTGATAACTAGAAGTGGACTGATACTATTCATTTTCTATAGTATAGATTGATCTGACAAAAACCAAAATGCTTAAGATAAAAAGATTTCCTTTTTATATAAAGGTAAAGACCTACTTGTAATTAATAAATGCACTTAAGAATGCCAACTAGCCTGTCTTTTGTAAATTAAAGAATTACTGATTTAACTCAGTATAGAGCAGTACCAGGATCCAGTGGAGAGCTGTGCTCAGCACCAGGGCATCCGGTAAGTCTTGCTGCAGCAGGTTCTGTGCTGTCTAAAGGGTTGCCCTCATCTGTGCAGGGGCTGGGACAGCAATGGGGGTTAGGATTTACACTTACTTTGTTTATACCATTGCCATTTTAGATAAAAACAGTATCAAAGTTTGCTTATACCAAATCTTCAAGTACTGCAAACTTAGGAGGGATTTCTGAGAACTCACTGTGTTATTAGATATGAATCTGAGGTTACACAAGGGAAAGTAAAGTAAGATTGAGGACCAGCACACTAAAGAATGTAAAATAAGTAGCATTGCCTTGCAGTGTGCTGGGAACTTATTTATACTATGGTATGTTAACACTGTAGGATAGAATAAAGGTCTGTCAGATTTTGACTTTTAATAGTCTAAGGCTGTGTAGGTACTTCTAAAATTACTGCTGGGTTTCATTTGCTTTAAGGTTGCTGGACGTAGGTGAAAACAAAGAGCAAGTAGCCTCTCAGTGCAGCACTAATCTTGTCTTGTAAGCAAAGAGATCACAACTAAACCCTGTACTCGGTTCAGTAAAACAAATTCTCACTGCTGCAGTGGGAAGGCAGAAGGGTTACCTTGAGTTTTATTTAATTAAAGCATTTAAGTACTATTTGGTATCTCTCAAGTAAGAGAAATGAGTAGATGCTTTCAGGGAGGCTGATGATAGAGTTGAGGAGCTGAAAGTACAGTTGTACAGCCCTCTGGTGCCACGTGTGAAACTCGTATTCGCCCGTAGGTGTGTTCAGGCACAGGCTGTCCATACTGCCTGCGGCCACTCTGTCACTCTTCTGCAGTTCCTGTGTCGGCTTTTCCTTCAGTCTAGCAAGAGTCCCTTCTTACCACCGTACTAACACACAGTCTCCACTTTCTATTGAGTAAAACTGCAAAGGCTTTAAGTCATTGTCTAGTTCAACTTCTTTTCCTTCCAGCTAGAATAAGAAAGGAGAAAAAAAAAACCCTATCAGACTTAAACTGAAATCCCTTCATGTAAACCAAATACACATCAGGCAACTGCAGTCAGGGAGAATCTGTCATATTACAGGAATGAAATTAGGTCCTAAATTACAGCATGAAGACTGCCCTCCTGAAGTAAAATGAATTTCCTTAGGTAGTATTTTAGAACATGCTATTGACCTTTAGCAGCATGAAGTATTTTGTTGCTGAATTATCCATTTTTAACTTACTTTAGAACTTTCGTAGGACAGTTTCAGTTCTGAACCAGGAATTTTAAATAGGCGATAGAGCAGTCCTTTGACCTTCTGAATAGTCATAGACTCTGTCAAGGGGAAAGAAAGAAAAGTTATTAGCAAAATGCTGCTGCCACTGAGCTGTAGCTAAGTACCAGTGTTTCACTTGCTTATAGCAACAGTGAAAGGCTGTATTGCTGCTTCAGTTCTAACACTGCAATAACATCTTCAGTACCTAAAATCATAACTGCTAATATCAAATTGAAAATTCTTTAATCTGTGATGGATACAGCAGGATATGCTACTGCAGTTTAAGTGCTTTGATCCCATATACCAAATTAAAGTGTTACGGCTTCATAACTTACCATTTTTGAGTTTGTATTTCTCCATGCTAAACTAAGTGACCTTTGGGACACATACCAGTCAGGTTCTGACTACTTGCATCTGGCAACTGTTCCTTTAAGTTTTCAATACCAGGAATTGGCTTTCCCAGCACAAGTAAGTGAACGTCACTGTGGAACTAGTGCCACTCTTAGGAGTGGTGTAATATTATTGGTCCCAAACAAATTGTCAGCAGAGTTGTTCATATAATGAAGTCAGTAACAGTAAGGGATATTTTTTGTAATGGATCTTGAATGAGTAGATGTAGTTTGTTCCTGAGGCGATACCTGTGTTTGCAATAGATATGCTCAATATTTTGGTTGAACTTTCACTTCTTTTGAAGCTTTATCTAAAGGCACAGCAATAGCGAGTTATTCCTGTAATACCACATGTTGTACTTAGACAAATATTTTTCTATCAAACATTTTTGTAAAAGCTGTATCTATCTGATTTTATGCAACTTGTGATAATAAATGTGATTTTTATTTTAGAATAAAGCTTAAGTCTTTTCTCTCAGACTCCATTCTGACACATCTTTCCAAAATATCAGCTTGATTTATAACAGTCTTATTCATTCTAGGCTCATTACAGGCACTAAAACTTCAAAATACAAATTTGATAGAACTAGATTTCTAACTTAATGTATTACATACTAGACCTCAGTATCTAGATCTGCAGATTACATAATTGCCTCTTAGGACTTCACGTTCTGGTTACTTGGTTAACACATCCACCAGATTTCATACCAGTTAATTAGCCTTTAATTGCCTCAGACACATTAATGATGAAACCAGCGGCAGAGGTCATAAGACAAGCATCAACTTTCAATCTTCACGCTGGACTGAAAGTAAGTATGAAGGCCAGAAGAACAGTGACTTTTTCAAACCATTTCTACCTTTGACATTTCTTTATATGACAGAGGAAATTCTTTAGCAGCTGACAAAGCCCGAGGCAGCTGCCATTCTTTAATACAGTTATTTGAAAAGGAGCTACAAAACAACTGCTTGAACACAAGCCAAAATTTCTTACCTGGTAGCTTTTTCTCTACTGGCTTCTGTTCAGGTTTCTCAGGACACTTAATTGTCAAAGCTTAAGGAAGAACGGTGAGGCATTAGTGAAAGAACAATAAGGCTGTTCTGGCAGGAGCACAGTCTTTCCAGTCTGTTTTTATTACTACATCCTAAAAAAATTAGGATGTAGGCTGCATCTGAGCAGCTAAGATAGCATTTAATCATTCTCTGAAAAATTTAAAGTAATTTTATTAAAATAATCAAGTTTTTATTTATCTTTGGTAAATTAGGGAAAATATTTTAGAAGTGATTCCCTAATGCTTACGATGTTTTTTTGATCAAAAGGAGTATTTACCTAAAAATGCTTGATTTCTATTTTGTTTTTTTTTAAATAACCTGCAGTGGAGTGGAAACTGCTTATTCAGTTTAAAACGGGCTTTTGGCCCTCAAAAGCACCATACAAATAGATTTTAAGGACATTATTAACCCAATTCTTTTACAGAGATTAAAAGACATCCTTAAAAAAAGGTTTATATTACATATAGCCAATTAGATTCCTTGTTCTATTTAGCCTTCTGCCTAAATGCCTTAGAATATAATGCCTTAAAATACTATTTTGCTCATGGAGTGAAAAAAGGTTCTGTTCTTCTGTCATCTGGGAAACACAGCTACATGACTTTGCAGGTCCAGGATATAACCTAGATTAAGTATGTTGACAGCCCCAAATACCAAAGCTACCCATATTTTTCTTGTCTGTCCTAAAGTTAACAAGTTATAAAAAAGATAATACCAGAAAACAGTGCAGCTGAGGTTAAAACTTCAGATGTTTTCTGTAAAGAAGCCATTCGCACATCAGAATGGAGTATCAATGACCTCTGTTCTTTATTGTCATAATTAATAAAATCATGTGGCTTGGGTTGAGGAGGAAATAGAGTACACAAAAGCAGGGATCTAGTCAAAGTCACTGATACAGTTCAGGAAAGCAGAAATGCAAACTGGAACTCTGTGACATCTCAAAGCCTTTTGAACCTTTTGTCCTCCATATACACCCAGGAAACACTAGCTTATAAAATATTCTAAATGCAGAAAGAGCAATTTTGACCATTTCTGGCCTCTTACTCAGAAGCTGATTTTTCAGAGTCAAAGGCTGTCGTCCCTTCAGTTCTCCTTCTTCAGGTGCACCATATTCTGTGTGAAGGAAAGCGCATGTAGACGTGAACCCTTCAAGACTAAAACACAAGAGAAGACCTAAGAGGACTATGGTGTAGGAGTAGGCATGAGCCTGCTGCCTCAGCTCCCTCAGCACAGAAAGTGTTGGGGTCCTGCAGCACACAGTGCTGCAGACATGAGCCTTGATCAACTGCCAGAGCATTTGGGACATGGAGGTGCTGCTTAACATTCTCACTTTAAAAAAGCCACAGGGGAAGAGAGCTACTGTGTGTTCACCAACAGTGATGGGGCAGATGTTCACAGGTGTGGGGATCTCTGAGGCAGTGAGCCCAAGTTCCTGAGGCACAGTGCCCTGAAGTGCTGGGCAGTGCTGGGCAGCTGCCCCACAGGAGCAAAAGCCACTCACACACAGACCTGCCAACGCATGGGCTTTCCTAAGGCTGTAGCAGCACATGGAAAAAGCATCAAGGGGAAGAGAAGTTGAAGAGAGACCAAACCGGTGCTGCCACAGTGCCAAAATTGAGGAAATGCTACTTTTATTGTACTTGTACTTACTAAGACAGAGTGATGGGTATCTGGGATGGGCAGCAAGAAATTCTTTGCTTGGTTTGTTTTTCTCTGGGTCCCAATGCCCACCAGCTTCTAACCAGTCATTTCCAAATATTTTGCGATAATCAAGCTCTGCTCCTCTTCTTTCAGCAGGAAGGATCTGTACTGACACAGGAATGGCACATAATGTAATTGTATAACTTTCCAGAGAATAAAATCAAATTAATGACACTGACTCCTTGGTATTACTTGGTGTTCAGTGTGTTTAACAATACCAAGAATCTTACAAACCGTATCTCCAAACACTGACTGATCCATATATTCAGTACATTTTAGAGCCGTTACGAATCCTACAGCCCCTAAGTCTGTGCACTGACTGAGCCATAAGTGAACATCTAAGCAAAGATGTTGCTGTATATGATGACACAAGGATGTTTTTTGTAGTTATGGGTTAGACACTGCTTCTGCTCTTCTTTATGATAAACATTTGCTGAAAATTTGACTTGTTTTAGATAATGATATTTTCCTACTGTGGAAAGCAAATGTTGGTATTACTGTCACTGAAACAGATCCAACTATGCTGCTCTTTTTTTTTTAAGAATATGGTTTTTGTTAACAGTCCTGCAACTTCAACACAACACAGGCACTTGAAAATAAACTCCATTGACCCACCTTATCCTAGTCCCCACTGAGTTAACAACATTCACAAAGAAGGCTTGGTCTTGTAGCCTTACCAGTTGTCCCACTGCTGTGGGTGATGAACATTGGCATTTTACTTTTCCTGCATGCAAAAAATCAGTAACCTTAAAAGAAACTGAAGACAGTTCCTCAGGCAGTGATTTAATGTTTTTCCCCAGACTCATGCAATTTGTTGAAATATCACATACCTCACAGTTATTCAAAACCTCCAACTGACTTATCTTGGCAATAATTAGCTGTATCAGGGTCTCTGGGTTCTTCTCTGTGTCCATGAGAGGGTTATTGTTACACTGCAGAGACCGCAAACTTGGCAGTTTATCAAGCTCATTGATAGATGACCACTGAAATGGAAGGGAACAGTCTTTTGAGGAAACATAAAACATCATTTCAGAATAATGCATGGTAACATTGACTTTTCCTGTACAATAAACATGACTGAAAATATTCTTTTGATCATCAGAACCAAGTACTTGGATTCTGTTCATTCACCTGAGGAAAGAACTGCACTACATTTAATTAAAAAAAGACAAAACAAAACAAGGAGCTAGTCAGAATTTCAGATCATTAGAATTATGAGGTAGCAGAGGGATATGGCTGGCTACCATAAACATGTTTAACTGACATGTTAGGAAATGTTTTTACACTTTTAAATTACGCCTCTCTGTTGATCAAAGTATTCAATAGTTGTCTCAGAATCTTACAATCAGACAAAATTTTAAAAAGCGAACTGCAAGTTATTTTTAAACAAAGATACATGATTTTACAAAATGAGAAACTATCACAATGTAGCGTACCTGTGATATTTTATTGTCATTTATTGCAAGGCGTTTTAGTGAAGGAAACATTTTAGTCTTGCAGCCTAGGAAAAACAGTAAATTACAAGACAACAGTGAAAACCGAATTAAATAAACCGAATTATAAAACTATAAATAAATCACTTTTTTTACATACCAAATCCAGCATCAGGAAAGTGTATAGAAGATATGCCAGTGTTTCTAAGTATTAGCTGTTCTAATCTGAAATTTAATAGATACGGTGATCACTGTACATGGCACAGGAAGTTTTCTTTATAAAGAAATACTACCTAATTTTTTTTTTTTAATAAAGGCCTACAACTTTTGACATGGTGCATAATCACTGACAAATGAACAGCAGCCTCACAGAGAGTACCCAGATTTCAGCAGTGTTCAGGGAATAAAATTTTCAGTGAGTGAGTGCAACAATTTCAAGCTTTCAGAATGGCTCCTGGATTTAACGTGTGATTTAATGAATAAAATGTGTGATTTCAATAGCTTGTGGCTATTTACAATCATGGATGCCATTTTAGTGCTCAGTGAAAGATAATAAGTCTGCAAAGTAGCAAAATGTGGTAAAATAGTTTGTTTCATAAGTATATAATGAAAACCTAATAAGACACAGCTTAAGAATGTGTTGTTATGCAGCAAAGTAGGATTATATTAAAATAGCTCAACTAAATAATGCAGTTACTCTCCTCAAGAGGCCAAAATGCCACTACTTCAAGATCTCATAAATCTTTCATGCAACATCAATACTATCATATTTCAGTCAACAAAGACTATGGAGATGAATATCCAGGACAAAGTATTTCCAGCAAATTTGTTTACAGCTACCTGGGGAGATGTGCTATTAGATGCAGTTGATTTCCATCCAGTAACTGGTTGTCTGAAAGGTCTAACAACTTCAGGGTCTTCAGGACATTATCGGGCCTGATATATTGGAAAAAAACCCCAAACAGAAACACCGAACATTTGAAGTCATTGGCTAATGAAAACACTAGTTTCCTAAGTATATAGTTGACTGCACATAACTGTGTACATTTATAAATGTTTTGAAGTACATCACGTGAAGTTTGCATCAATTATTTTACAGTTATGTCACAGTGATGTGTTACAGGACTGTAACTTTATGTACAACATAACTTTGTGGTACATCACTCACCGATGACTGACTGACTTATGTTACTCACCTTTCCAAAACTGTAATACTATTAGAAGAAAGGTACAACTCTTCAAGTGCTGGCCATCCTTGAGCACAGAGAAGAACCTGAGAGGAAAACTTTATTTAATATACAAAAATTGGGAAAAAATATTCCAGAAATTATATTTTATGCAAATTTGCTCTAAACGTGATCAGAACAAGCTGTAGTTCTCAAAAACAGAGAAACAATTATTAAAGATTTCCTAGTCTTCCCTTTTGTCCAGATGGCTCTCCAGTGCCTGAACATACCCACACAGATGATATCAAAAGGTTTCTGTGGTCACAGGACTTACAGTGCCAGGCTTGAGGCTGCCCTTGCAGCTGAGACTGTGTGACCTGGAGATGGAGTGAATTTCATTCAGTGGGCTGGAGTGACCAGGTTTTCCCTATGACTAGGTGAGGAAATGGCAGTACAAACTCTGTATACAGCATAAAACAGAGTCTTGTATGCAATTGTGAAAGTGTCAAAACGTTCAGTTTTAGCACATGGAATTCCATAAGCACTGGAATTGACAGCTTTTCTACGGATTTGTGCCTGCATGTGGAAAATGATTCTTTTCAGTGAGTTTCTTCTGGTGTGTATTCTCCAGAGTCAAATGAAGTGTGAGTTCATCCTGCTACTCGTCCCTTGGTTAGGAAACTTACAAGGGCTCTTCCATCCATCTACATTCCTATTTGCTGTGAATTTGTACATAATAAATTATTTTTAAGACCCTCACCTCTTTTCAAAATGTGATTGTAACTGACTAGCAAATTCAGAGTTTTTGAGATGCAAGAACATAGACATAAAGATGCACAGTGCAATCACCTAAAGCTTACAGGAGGTTACAAAGGTTACAAGAAGTGAAGTTCAGAGATTTGGACAATCCAATTAAATTTGTTAGTTTTATAGTTAACCCATTCTCCTACAAATGTCTACTGTCCTTGGCCATTAGAGCTGTATGAAGTCATACAGCTGGATGTATATATAACTGTCTCATATTTACAACACAAAGTGTTAACACTGAGATCTCTTCAAGAGGCAGCATATGACTTAGGGTTCAACTGCTTCACACCCAAAAATATGAAACATCATCCTGCTGCCATATCTGCAACACAAAAACTTACAAACTCAGATAAAATGACTTTTCTTTCTCCAAAGCAAGAGCAGGAAACACCAATATTTTATCTCTCTAATGTGGATAGTGTATCTCTATGTCAACAAGACAGACCATAATAGTTATCTACTGGTAGTGAAGAAGCATGACAAGAAACCTGCAGAGTCAAGAGAAATGAGATGCATGTTCAGCAACAGAGAACCTTTGGGGGATTCTTCCACAACCATCCTGTGTTGTGATGGATGGAATATAAAAACTGCACAAAACTGAAGTAAAAGAAGATTTTTCAATAGATTGACCAAATGATTAGAAAATTGCCAAAACCAAATGACAGGTCACATCACAGTTCTAAGAAACTCAACTCGCCCAATTTTCAGCTATCACGGAAACAAAAGTTCGCAGATCTGACACTGAATTAACACTCAGGAAAGACTGGAGGCTTATTGTGGAGAGCTGGTGGGGAGGCTGTAACAAATAGCCAGTGGAGTAGCCACTGATCATCAAAAACAGAAAAGTGGAAATGCAAGACCTGTTACAAAAAAAAATAAAGATGACAGGAAACACGTGTCTCCGTAAGTCCATAATGCTTCTGTATTTTTACTATCTTTATCCCAAGAAGCAAAAAATATAAATGGGAAAGGTACAAAGAAGCTAAACAAAAATCAAAGCTATGAAACAGAGAATAGTTGTTCTCAGTTACTGCCATATAAAAGATTAGGACTTATTACATGAAATTTTTAGGCAGCAATATCAAAAACCAAAAAGGGTTAAGTTGAATGTTAAAAGATGTGGATAGCAAAATTTTCAAATGGGTTCTTAATACAGTTAGATAAATCATGAAACAACAAATCCACAAAGGTTAATTAAATAGAGATACATAATCTCAAGCTCATAAAGACACACAATTCCAGATTACAAGAAGCTCTTACCATATGCTTACCCTTTGCCTAGAATTTTTCCCAACTACCTGCTACTTGCTAGTGTCAGAAACATGATCCTGCACTTCTGTTCTAACCCAGATTTTTCTTTTACCCTGTATAATAGTAGATTATATTATGAATGTAAGATCTTAGTTTGAAAACTGAATGACAAATATAACATTATTTAAATCCTGAATAAGAAAAAATGGGTTTAGAACCATAAATATGAATTCTCTACACTCAAATGCATAAATTCCATTTCTAAGTCAATGGTTGCTAACTTTAGGATATTTTACAGGACATTTTTCCTTCCTGAAGATTATATGTTATGTTTTGAACAATCAATTAACAATTATACAGTAATAAGCTCTTTTACTGATATAGAAATCTCAGATGTATTTAGATATATGCAAATAACACACTAATGAAAGAACTTTTTTGAAAACTGATCTTCAAGGCATATAAACGTGGAGCTATGTATAATTGCATAACAGTTAAGCATATCCCTCTACTTTAAAAAAATATTTCAACACAAAGGAACAGATAAAAAATCCTAAAAAAAATCTTCTCTTTTAAGGAGAGTGCCATATATTCTTACATATGACAGTAAGCTATTTTGAAATGCTGTTCACCATTAAATTGTTTTAGCTTTAATTAAAAAATTTCTAGGACTTTTAGACTTTGCTTATATTCCCATTGACAATCAGTGTATATCTTCTCTTTTTCCTGGATTATATTCATTATTATTTTCCATTTTTGACTTTTCAAGTAACTCTCCTTAGAGCTTAAGCACTGACATTTTCAAGTGGTTTGTTCACAGAGTATTGATGTCAGGTAGTTCCCTTTATTTTTTCCCTTTTGTTTGACTACCCTGAAACAGCACTTTTAGGCACAGGCTTATGTCTCCCGGCTTATGTCTCCCAGCTTATAAGGGAATGAATTGGAATAAATTTCAAATTTATAAAAGAGGTTTCTGAACCAAAAATGTCTTTACAGCAATGATGAATCGTCAGCTAGAGCAGAGTTTCAACAAAAAATGCAAAACCTACATAATTTTAAATTGCTCTGACTAACCCGAGGCTTCTCTCTGAAATTTAGTTATCCCTAGAGAAGTCTAATCTGCCTTCAGCAGTGGCTCCAACCAGCCTTTTGGTCACCTGGGATGGAGGAAAGCTGCTGGCAGCAGCTTTCACATTATAAACAGTACAATGCACTGATTTACTGTGATGAGCACTAGATGACATTTAAAGTGTTTGTAGCCACTTAGTTCTTCCATTCACTTCACCCTTCATATCGCCACTGTTATGGAAGGATTATCAACTGTCCTACTATAAACCCTGTGGATGATTTAAGAGCTCAGTGAATGGACACTAAACAAAAATATAGCAGTGACGGTCTTCAAGCCCTGCTGCAAGACAGGAGAATGAAGAAGCTTCTTGCTACTCAAACCCCACTTTTACTGGATAGTGACTGGCAGCCAAAATATGAAAATTCATGTCATTTTACAATGTAGTACAACAAAAACTGCCCCTGACAAATCCAAGTAATAGTCTGGAACTTACAAGCCTTTATAAGTAACATGACACTACTGAGATGCAATTCCTAAGCCCCATCTCTGACAAAAGGCCCACTGCTAACATATTTGACAACCAGACTTCATTCTTAATCATATCAGGGGAGAGTAATTTAAATGTTCGCATGTTTCAGCACCTGAAAGGCAGAGCTTTGTTTACTCTGTGCTCTGTGTTGCACACAACCAGGCATCAGGTATTTCAAGAACGATCAGCATGTGCAAAGATACTAAGCCAATCTCCTGTTGATGCGAAGTGATGCCAAAACAAGTATTTCTTGTCATATTGATGTATTCTCTTTCCATTTGCCTTTGTTCTGTTGCACGCATAAGAGTACAGATAACCTTCAATAGCTACAAGGAACCAAAAAGTTTTCATTTAGACAATTATACTCCAACTGCTTTATCTTGACTTGGCAGTTTACAGATGTAACTAACTACATAACTAATACAATTACCCCCCAGCACCTTTTCTAAGGATGGTTACATTTCAGTAGAATAATATAGTGCTTAAATGTTTATTGTGCTTTCGTTGCCTCAAAAACCTAATGATATTAAATAAAAACAAACCCAGGAAAGGTTATTACCTCTGTCCATGTTATTTCAGTTTGATTAAGTGCCAGAATCTTCAAATTTGAAAATGCACTGGATATAGAAGCTGATGTAGATGGAAATTTCATTTTGTTTTCACTATATAAAAAGAATAATTATTTGCATAATGAATAATTGCATTTATTTAAGTCACTAGTTTGGAATTACATACTAAAGAGAAAAACAGTTTATACCAAAAAAATTTTAAAAATCACTGTCAAGATGTCATAGATTTTAAAATATAATAAAATATACTTCTAGCTACATTCAACCATACTCTTTCCTAGTTTACTTTTCTACTTCAGGAATGCATATTTATTCATCTGTGGTCTCTTTCTCTCCTTTTCTTCCCCTAAGGTTTGAACATGAAAAGGATGTTTTTCATTAATATTAAATGAAACAAAGTGAGATTTTTGGAATCTAACTCCTTAGTGTCAACTGAAAATAAAGAGCCTACATGACTATCCAGATGCCAGTAAAACAAAAGTATGTAAAATCCACTCTCAATAGCAAAGTATCACTACGAAAAATAAAAAAAAAGATAAAAAAGATTCTCAAATCTGCAGTCTTCAAATCATTTTTCATTACTCACCCCTAAACAGAAGTTTTTATTTCTTACCTAAGGTCTAATCCACCTGCTTGTTCTCATAAAAATCTCTCAGTGTAGTTCATACTTACTTATGGGTTAAATTTCCACATAGAGAGTTGGTAGATGGTTTATCACTTTTAGTCTTCCAACATTCCATGTACAAAAAAAAAAAATCAGTCGCAGACTTACCTTCTAAAGGTCTTTCTTTTTTAAACAAACAGAAGGTCAAAACAATAAAAAACTAATTCAGACTGTGTCAGTTTGTAGTTGTAAGCATCAGATTCCAGCATCAATCTCATTTTGTTTTCTATTTCTTTTCACAAATAACTTCTGAAAACCATTCAGTCTAATCTACACTTCTCAATAATGAAAAACTGAAAAAAATATTCTGGGTGAATTAAAATAAATTCTCTGTATTCTCATGCATGCTGATAACAATAAATCATGATATGCTCTAGTAAAATTAGATTTACAAATAGCACCCAGGTTGCAAACAGCTGTTCACTGTTAGCAAACAGTGCTAAATATCAAAGAAAATGGAACACCTCATTTTTGCAATATTAACTATAAAAATAAATAAAAAACCTGGTAGTTTAGGCTGTTACCTATTTACAGACTTTAATCCATTGTGTTAGCTCATATCAGAAAATGATTCTGCCATGTGCCAGTTACGGCGCATAGGTGTATACTAGAAATGTTCTTTATTTTGAAATTATTTTGTGAATTCTTTCTTGTTTTGATGGAATTGCAGCTTTATTTAACAACAGCCTCCCTCCTTTTCCAGTGTCATCACTGTACAAGAGATTTCCCCCTAGATCTGTCACCATGATCCACAGTTCTTATCAGCATCATTTTAGGACAGAAAGGGGCTGGGGTTTGGGATACTTAACATTTGGTTAAAGCATTACTGATATTTCAGTTTAGTGTCAGGACACTTGGTAAACATCATTCTTAAACAAAAGTGGGCCTAAGTAAAGACTTGCCTGGGCAGTCAGAATATATCAACAATAATAAAAAACAGAGATAAAGTGTTAGGACTTTAAAGAAAATGAAAATATATTTACTTTACAGTTTTTCTATGCAGAAAAAAATTTCTAAAAATTCTCATGGAAAAAACCCAAACAGGTTTGCAAACCCAGAAGGCAAACAGTCAGCTACTGCTAAACCTGATTAAAAAACACTAAGCAAGATGTTTAAGAGGTAAGGATGCGTTACTAGAGCTTCCTCAGGCAATCTGCAAACTCCTGCAGCAGTGTCATGGCAAGGTCTTGGCTTCTGAGGGGCCCATCTGCCAATGCCGTGCAGACCCTACGCACAAGTACCCAGAGAACACACACTGAACTCGGCTGTGCCTGCTCTGAAGTTGGCCTCCTGCTTCAAACCAAGCTCAGTGCACCCCTGCAACATGGGCGCACACACATGTTAAGTCAGTTCTGCCTTGGGAGAAACTGAGCTTTAAAATCAATAGAATTAATTGTCTTAGACGTCACAAAAGTGTGTAAGGGCATCTTATGACACTGTAAACTTACGTTTCTATACTCCTTGTTTCTTCTTTTCTATAAAAGTACTTTGAGTATTTTTTTTTTACCTTCAGTCTAACTGCCTAAATCTATAATCCCTAGCCAACAAGCCAATTTGCATAAAACTGATGTAATCTCTTATGTGGAACATGTTGACAAATGCCTAAAGTCCTGTAAGTGTTCAATGGCTGAAATATATATTCTATTTTTCAGGTACTGATTTTTCTAATTTTACAAAACTCCAGTCAACATTCATCTGTCCCAAACACTTCTCCAGAACTTAGTTTTACATAGATGCTAAACTCCTAGAGTTCTAGTCTTTTCTTGAAAAGAGATGTGTACAAATATATTTAGAAAGCTAAACCCTGAGCCTCTTGTATTTTGTCCCTGTCCCAAAGGAAGAGAAACCCAAATATGAATATTTATACCTGACATTAAGTGTTTCCAGATTCTGAACTTGAGAAGCAATATCTATTACTGTCTCCCAAGACGATATCAAATTTTTTGATAGGTTTATATGCCTCATATCTGAAATGTCATGTTAAGAAAAAGAAACTTATCTCAAATTTGAACTTCCTGTTTCAGAAATTAGAATTAGGGTTTGAATAAAATAAACAGAAATAGATTACACTTGTTTGGACTAAGAGATACTATTGCTCAGTTACAGCAAATTTTATTTTGATTTGTGGTATGGACATGGCTTACAGTTTTATAAAATAGCTTAACTTTTCAAATCCTAAAATGGATTAATTTCTATATTGACAAGAACTCTTACCAGTCCTTTCAAATGAACAAATAATATCTTTTCTGTATTTCTGTAACACTGTCACAACACACAGCATACTGAACATATTATTTGTTATATATTGGAAATCTCTGGTGTCTACAGAACATATCAGTTGTACTTTTATGGAGTTATCTCTTCTAGGGTTAAATTTAAAAAAAAAAAAATTGCTGAAGCCTTTTGAAATTTCAGTCACAGTAGCAATCTATGACAATACTTGTATTTTTATCCACAATTTGCATTTCCTCTCAAAAACTGTAGGCATCGACTTTTAACTCTGTAACTATTGCATTAAACTTCTAAATATAAACTACAGTTTCAATCATTTTTTAATAAAAGGATACAAGTATCATTCATTGAAGTGAACACTTGGAATGCTAAAGTATATACTTTACTTGTGGTATCATGCAATGTAGCAAAAAAGGATACTGGCACACGTTCTGCTGATTTCCTCTGTCTGACCAGCATGGCTCACTGCACACTCACGCACCGAGATATCTACCAGTTTGTTCAGTTGTCTAAATGAGAAAGAACATCCTATTAATTAATCTTCAAATAGAAACAAGCGTGTATAAATACCTGTATAAATAACATCCTTTTTATACATACCCTCTCCTTTAGAATTAGCATTGTGGAGATTGCTACATTGCAGTGTCATTCTTACTTGAACATCTCTGTTTTTTGCCTTCACATTGCTACTACAAAATAGGTCTGGTTGAACCACAATTCCCACCCCCTTCCCACTCCCCCCAAAAACCCTTATCCAACTGAAAAAAAGAGTGATAAAACAGATTAAATATAGCTATGCAAATTGGAATTTAATTAGAGGTTCCAAGTTAAACAGGTTTCTTGCAATACTTTTTGCAAGAGGTTCTGAGTAATTTGTGCATCCTTTGTAACACTTAGCAAATAATTTAAAAAAAATGTATTTTTGACTGCTTAGTATGTTCTGGGAGACAAAGGGAGAATAATTGTGGAATATCAGCTCAGAATTAGACTGCCACCTACTGAACTAATACATCTCTACTGCTAGAGGCCATTAAAACTGCAATTTACTACACATCATTAAGTTACTTCCTTTCTTACCCTTCCAGGTACATGAACGCGACATGAACTGACTGAAAGTGTTCTTCACTAGCAGTACAGTGACTTTCTGTCTTCCCTTTCTTAGTTACAAAGTCATTAGAGATACGAGTAAACGAAGATTAAATAATACTGTATAATATTAAGAAAACATTTAAATACATCTATTTTAAAAGGACCACGCGTGTGTATGATAATTGCCAATATCATGATATCTGTCATTCCTCCCCAGATATCTTCGCCTTCTACTTTATGAAATCAAAATGAGGATTGTGAGTACTCAAGCATGATATAATCCCAGTTCCTATCTGTAAAACCTGTAAATTATGAAGCCACAATAGGAAGATTTCTTGTCTCTTCCACCATAGTGTAGTTTGGCTTACTTTTAGACATATGACAATATTATATGCATGGCAGTCAGCTTCCTTTCCTTTCAGTTGAAATACTACTTGACTATCAATCACTAATAATGTATCTTAGGTTTTCACATATTACACTTGCCTTTGCTGTTCTGCAACAGAATCCATGCCAACGAATTCCACAGTCTTCGTTCCAAATACTACTGTATTCTCTGTCCCATATTGAACATCTTGCTTATCATTCAATCCGTACCGATCCTTTACTGCAGTAAGAAAATCTACTCCAAAATTTGCCTTGTTTGGCCGGATAAATGATCCTCCTTTAGGATGCCTAGAACAGAGGAGCCAGGAAAAGCTGAAATATGAAAAGTTGTAGTAACAACGACTAGCCTCAAAAGTACTAATTATTACTTTTTCAAAAAAAAATACTGTGAACGAAAGCAGTCAAAAGGCAATTCTACAGGCTAATTTTAAACATCACTGTTCCCACTCAGTGAGACCAGCTAAGACTTTCAAAGTATCTTTTATAGTATTTGACAGAAGAGTTCACATTGTGAGATGCCATGAGAACTGAGGCACCAGTTCTCCAAAGGTATTGACACATCAAAATTAGTGCCATTAATTAAAATGGCACAGTGTCAGTGCCATTATTAAAAATAACTGCTCTTTTGTTTTCAAACTCATTATGAACTCAGTTTCGTTAGAAAATTAAGTTTCTACCTATGGATAGACACAAGTTATCTAAATCATACAACAAATGTGTCTGGAGTCTTATCACAGCCTAAGGCCCACAGGAATACTCAGGATAGTCATTGCTACATCATATTTGACTTGCATAATTCCCTTGTAATTCTAAGAGAAAGCAACTTTGTCCTTCCATCCACACAAATGACACAAGATGCAAATTGTAGCACTTGGAACTCTTACACAAACTCAAACTTTTAAAATTTCTGATACTAATTTGGTAACAATTTTGAAACTGAATATTCAACAGAAATATCTAGCTACAAATGTATGTTCTACACAGTTCTATGAAGTTTCTTGTTTTTTCTTGAGCACTGAAAAAACTTTGGTGCATGACAATTTCTTGCCATGCAATTGCATTGATATTTTCTATCAAAGTTAGCAAGGAAACACATTATCCAGGATGAAGTAGCAGAGACAAGTTATAGAAATGGTATCACAGAGCAGATGGAAGATTTCATAGGAGGATCAGCCTGAAAACAGCAGGAAAAAAGTTGGTAGCTATGATTACCTGTCACTTATGTGAATAAAACTTCTCAAAACAGCATGTAAACATCAAGTGGCTAATTAGCAATACATAATGCTACAAAGTTCAAAAGTCTTTTACAGAGACCGTGAATCCTACAGACCTATTAGAAGTAGATGGAACAGCTTGGGCACCATATATTCACTTCTTTTCAGAAAAAAATCAGTACTGGAAATTTCCAGTGCTAGTTTCATCCATTAACATTTCTAATACTTATAGAAGCCCCGTACGGGCCACCATTTTTCAGCGTGAGAAACACCTGCATACGATGTGAGCAGGTGGATGATTTGCTATGTCTGGTGGCAGAGCTAAAGGAAGAGGTGGAAAGGCTAAGAAGTATAAGGGAGAGTGAAAGGGAAATTGACTGGTGGAGTCACACCCTTTCGATTCCTAAGGAAGCCCAGCAGGAGGCGGTGAAGCCCAGCCCCCCCTGCCATCAGGCAGACAGAACGGACAATATGGATGGGGAGGAATGGAAACAGGTGCCTGGTCGTAGAGGCAAAAACACCCCCTCTCGACCCCTTTCACCTGCCAGGGTGCCCTTAAAAAACAGGTATATGGCCCTGGTTTCAGAAAGTCTGATGGGGGACAGTCAGGAGGAAGATCTGTCTACAAGGTCTTCTGGTTACCCCCGGTCTACTGGATCTGTTACAACTACAGGTAAGAGGAAAAAGAGAAGGGTTATTGTAATTGGTGACTCCATTTTGAGGGGAACTGAGGGCCCTATATGTCGGCCAGACCCATCCCACAGGGAAGTTTGCTGCCTTCCCGGGGCCAGGGTGAGGGATATTACGAAAACACTTCCTAAGCTTATTCAACCCTCAGACTATTACCCGCTGTTGGTTGTCCAGGTTGGAAGTGATGACATCAATAATAGGAGTACCAGGGTAATTAAAAAAGATTTTAAGGCTCTGACCCGATCACTTCATGGGACAGGAGCACAGGTAGTAATTGGCTCAGTTCCTGTGCTAGCTGGGATGAATGAGGAGATAAATGAGGAGAGGTTTAGGAAAGCACAGCTTACCAATAGGTGGCTTAGAGGATGGTGCTATCGTCAAAATTTTGGGTTTTTTGATCATGGGGCAAACTCCATGTTGCCTAGTCTTGTTAAACCAGATGGGCTTCATCTATCTGGGAAGGGCAAAAGAACTGTAGCCCGTAAGTTGGCAGGGTTAGTTAGGAGGGCTTTAAACTAGGTTTGAAGGGGGAAGGGGCGGCAACTGGGCTCTCCAGAAATAAGCCTAAGGGTGTAGTGCCTGAGTTGAGAATAAAATCAATGGCCCAGCTGAAGTGCATGTACACCAATGCACGCAGTATGGGAAACAAACAAGAGGAGCTGGAAGCCATAGTGCAGCAGGAAAACTATGACATAGTTGCTGTCACAGAAACGTGGTGGGATGACTCACACGACTGGAGTGCTGCTATGGGGGGCTACAAGCTCTTCAGAAAGGACAGGCAGGGTAGGAGAGGTGGAGGGGTGGCTTTATATGTTAGAGAGTCTCTTGACTCTGTTGAAGTTGAGGTCAGCAGTGACAAGGTTGAGTGCCTGTGGACCAGAATCAGGGGGAAGGCCAACAAGGCTGACATCCTTGTGGGTGTCTGTTACAGACCGCCCAACCAGGATGATGAAGGAGATGAATTATTCTACAAGCAGCTGGCAGATGTCTCAAAATCTCCAGCCCTTGTGCTCATGGGTGACTTTAACCTGCCGGATATCTGCTGGGAGCTTCATACTGCAGAGAAGAGGCAGTCAAGGAGGTTCCTGGAGTGTATAGAGGATAATTTCCTTCATCAACTGGTAAATGAGCCTACCAGGGGTAAGGCCCCACTAGACCTACTGTTTACAAACAGAGAGGGGCTGGTGGATGATGTAGTGGTTGGAGGCCGCCTAGGGCATAGTGACCACGAAATAATAGAATTTTCAATCCTTAGGGATGTAAGGAGAGCCATCATTAAAACTTCTACTCTGGACTTCCGGAGGGCAGATTTTGGCCTATTCAAAAAACTAATTCAGGGCATACCCTGGGAAACAACCCTTAAAGGCAAGGGGGTCCAGGAGGGATGGACATGCTTCAAGCAGGGAATTTTGAGCGCACAGGAACAGGCTATTCCAGTGTGCCGAAAGGCCAGCCGGAGGGGAAGACGGCCGGTTTGGTTAAATAGGGAGGTTCTGAAAGAAATCAGGGATAAAAAGAAAGTTTACAGACTGTGGAAAAAAGGACTGGCTACTTATGAAGAATTTACGAAGAGAGCTAGGTCATGCAGGAAAAAAATTAGGGAAAGAAAAGTGGAATTTGAAGTTAATTTGGCTAATTCAGTTAGGGATAACAAAAAGTCCTTTTATAAATACATTAATACAAAAGGAGGGGCAAGGAAAACCTCAATTCTCTGTTGGACTTGGAGGGAAATATAGTTAACAAAGATAAGGAGAAGGCTGAGGTACTTAACACCTACTTTGCCTCAGTTTTTAGCAGTAAGACAGGTGGCCCTCAGAACAACTGGCCTCTAGAGCAGATAGACAGAGACAGAGAGCTGAATAGCCCTCCTGTATTCCAGGAGGATGTAGTTAGCAACTTACTGAGCCAGCTGGATCCTAACAAGTCTATGGGACCAGACGGGATCCATCCCAGGGTGATGAGGGAGCTGGCAGAAGAGCTTGCCAAACCGCTCTCCATCATCTTCCAGCAGTCCTGGCTCTCTGGGAAGGTCCCAGATGATTGGAGGTTGGCGAATGTCACCCCAATCCACAAAAAAGGCTGCAAGCAGGACCCTGGCAACTACAGGCCTGTCAGCCTGACCTCGGTGCCTGGCAGGGTTATGGAGCAGATCATCCTGAGTGCAATCACACAGCACCTTCAGGATGGACAAGGGATTAGACCCAGCCAGCACGGGTTTAGGAGGGGCAGGTCCTGTCTGACCAACCTGATCTCTTTTTACCCACCTGGTGGATGAGGGGAAGGCTGTGGATGTGGTCTATCTAGACTTCAGCAAGGCCTTTGACACTGTCTCCCATAATATACTCCTGGAAAAGCTGGTAGCCCATGGCTTGGACAAGTGTACCCTCTCCTGGATTAGGAGCTGGCTGGAGGGTCGGACCCAGAGAGTGCTGGTGAATGGAGCTGCATCCAGCTGGCGGCCGGTCACCAGTGGTGTTCCCCAGGGGTCTGTGTTGGGTCCAGTCCTGTTTAATATCTTTATTGATGAGTTAGATGAGGGGATTGAGTCCATCATCAGCAAATTTGCTGATGACACCAAACTGGGAGGGAGTGTCGACCTGCTGGAAGGCAGGAGGGCTCTGCAGAGGGATCTGCATAGACTTGAGAGATGGGCTGATTCCAATGGGATGAAGTTCAATAAAGCCAAGTGCCGGGTCCTGCACTTTGGCCACAACAACCCCCTGCAGCGCTACAGGCTGGGCACAGAGTGGCTGGAAAGCAGCCAGGCCGAAAGGGACCTGGGGGTACTAATTGACAGGAAGCTCAACATGAGCCAACAGTGTGCCCAGGTGGCCAAGAAGGCCAATGGGATCTTTCCGGTATCAAAAATAGCGTGGCCAGCAGGAGCAGGGAAGTGATCTTCCTTCCCTATGTACTATGCCTTGGTGAGGCCACACCTTGAAGTATTGTGTTCAGTTCTAGGCCCCTCAGTTCAGAAAGGATTTGAGGGTGCTAGGAGGCGGGTCCAGAGAAGAGCAACAAGGCTGGTTGAAGGGACTGGAGCATAAGTTAGGAGGGAGAAGGCTAGGGAGCTGGGTTGTTTGCCTGGAAGAAAGAGGAGCTCAGAGGTAATGCATCATCAACCATCGTAAACGAAATAAGGACGTTGCTACTAGCCAGGTGTGGGTGGGTCTCGTCTCGGGCACTCAGCAATAGGGCAAGGGGGCACGGGCTTAAGCTCCGCCAGGGGAAATTTAAGTTGGATATCAGGAGAAAATTCTTTACAGAGAGAGTAATCAGGCATTGGAATGGGCTGCCCAGAGAGGTGGTGGATTCACCATCCCTGGAGAGTTTTAAACGCAGATTGGACGTGGCACTGAGTGCCATGATCTAGTAAATGGACTGGATTTGGACCAAGGGTTGGACTCGATGATCTCGGAGGTCTTTTCCAACCCAATCGATTCTATGATTCTATGATTCTATGATTCTACTCTCATATCCTAAAGAAAGATCTGGGTAGAAAGAACATATTATTTACATTCAAAATATTTCCAGTCTAGTTTTGCAGTGACTGAGTTCAGAGTGCAATGACTACCAAACAAGGCAGAAAGGCAAACTTGTAGAGAATGTAAATCTGGTATGTACTTCTCACTTTCAATAAGCATTTTCAATACTCTACATTTTTAATCCAGTAACCTTCTCTTAAGAATTTTCCTTTTGAAGCTCTTCATAGCTTGCAAACATGTGACTGGTTTAAATGTTGTGTGACTCTTTCTTAATATGACTTCTTAAAACAGTAAATTACAATTTCACCACCTTAACTATAACATCTCTTATTTGCAAAGTATATCACTTTGCATTTAATTAATTCAAACAGCTTCAGGATTCTACCTGGGGTTCTGGAAAAAAACCTCATAATCTTGTCTATCTGTAATTCACTGAAGGTCCTGCTGTATGTCCATTTTCCTATCACCTTGATTCTCTTCATTTTGTCATCACCATCTCATGCACTCAATAGTTCTGCTACCTTCTTCCCTCTGCTCTCCTCAGCCCTCTCACCAGAGCTAATCTAGATAGCCCGCAGACATCCTTCCTGTTGTGCCATTTATCTCTGCATAACCAAGCCCCTTTGGGTCTCTCTGTCACCATACCCATTCCTTAGCCCATTTCTGTCCTCTCAGGTCACCACTTCTATTGGCATCTCCTTCCTCATTGTCTTTGCAGGAGTGAGTTCTATCCCTAGGAAAAAAAAACCACAAAGGAAACTAGCTACCTTGCCCCTTTTATTTAAAGGAAAATTACAGTGTATTTATCTCTCAAGACTCTTGTATTTTTGTTTTGATCACAAGATCATAGGGTTTCTCTCTCCTGTTGCTACCACTTCAAAGTACGATGCATGCTTTTATATATTATCTAACATATACTTAATACCATTTCACAGTCTGAGTTTCTTTTTTAGTTCCATTCTATTAATTTGATCTACCTTTTCAGGAACTGTCATGAAGGACAGGAAAAGGGACTGCAATAGGAACATATTTTCAGACAAAATGATTGTGGATTCAAGAAGAGAGATCACTAATTCATTTTCCCTGAAATACACTGCCTGCAT